AATTATTTTTTCCTTTAAAATATGAATTAAACATGATACTTTGTTTTACATTAATTGAAGTGTCATTTTTCTCTTTTTAAAATGAGAAAACTATTAATTTAGCTGTGTTAAAAAATCATTTGAAGTCAAGGCACTATACTACACTCTTTCTATCAATATGTTCATTATAGAGATCTTTTCAAAAATAATATTTAATCAATAGAGGATGCTCATATTGATTAAACTAAAGGGACCCCCCAATTTTTATTTTTATTTTTTTCAAAAAGAAGGGCAATTTTCTTGTTATCCAAATCCAATGCGAAATTGACGGCATGTGCTTATAAATAAGTAATAAAATCTTTTTGGAAAAAAACAACTTTGCTGACAATTATCGATTTTTTGGTTGTTTTGTTAAAAGAGTCATCATCTGTTTGGAATATTAACAAAGATAAAGAAGATCGAAGAGAACACAAGCTCAATCGAATAATAAAGAACCAAAAAAGATATCATAATTTTTATTAAGTTTGATTTGAAGGAATTGAGCTTGAGAGCCAAATGAATTGAAAGATTCATGTTTGGTTCGGGAAGGGGTTTTTCTGTTTTGAAATGAAAGCAAAAAAAAAAGATCTACTTTCATTTAGGGGTGGGCATAACAGTTCGGTTTGACCGAACCAAACCGTACCAAACCGAATTGAACCAAACCGAAATCGATCCATTTGTAATTTGGTTTGAGTTTGGTAGTATTCCTCCCAACCCGTATTAAACCGAACCAAACCGAACCGAAATCATAAAACCGAATAAAACTGAACTAATCTAAAAATGAAATAATTTCTTATTTTTTTAAAATAACAAATCAAAACTAACTTGCACGAAACTAAACCAAACCAAAATATAAGATTCCTCTCATTAATTTGATTGATGTTAATCTTTTTGAAGCTTTAATTCTTTAATTTTAGTGTCCAGGACTAGAGTTTTACTACAAGAGTTGCATTCACAACTATAACAATTATAGTGGTTTAAGTAGATAGTATTCAACTATAATTTATTATCTACTACTACTATATATATTTGGTTCATTACTTACAAGTACCATTTTTGTTTTTGTTTCGGCTTTATATATAATTTGATTCATTCCCGTTATTTTTGCTTACAAATGTGTCATGCTTATATATTTTTGGTTCATATGTGTTTGTTTCTGTTTGCAAATTGATATCTAACATTATATTTGGTTCATTACTATCGCTTCTTTGTTCATTATTTTGAGTTAATTTTTTTTATTTCAATCCAAACCTTAATACTTTGGTAAACCGAACTCCAAACCGAACCGAACAATACCAAACCGAAACCAAACCGAAACTTAATCGGTTTGTATTTGGTACATTTTCTATCAAACCGATTAAACCGAAACCGAACCGAAACCGAAGAAAACCGAACCGAAAACCGAAATGCCCACCCCTACTTTCATTAAGTGACTTATTAGGTGCTCATATTTTTTTAAAATCAATCAAATCCCCGAAATTTGAAAAAATGTTGAATTGAGCCAATTAGCAGGTTATCTCACATGTCAGTAGGTCACCCACTAACGTGACATACACGTGGTGGTCCGCATGTGTGCCACATCATCAAGAAACGACTTATTGGGCTTCCACGTGTATGCCACACCAACAAAGCCACTGCTGATTGGCTGCCATATGTGTGCCACATCAGTAGGTGACTTGTTGATGTGGCGGGTAACCCGTTAATGGATTCAATTGAATGTCTTTAGGAGTTCGGTGATTTGATTAATATTTTAAAAGTACAGGGACTTAATTGACATTTTTGTGATAGTACAAGGACCAAATTCATAGTTTTCCCCTTTTAAATAAAATTTGAGCATTCCTATTTTGAAAATTTGTTGGTGTTTTATTTTTTTAATAGAATTAAATAAATCTTACTACTTCGTGTTTATTAGTAAAACACATTTAACCTATTTTTTGTTTTCTATATGGTTTACTCTGATTTGAGTATTTTTTTTTAGAGGGCGTTTGGTAGGATGTAAAATAATTACTTCGCATGCAAAGTGCATAGATGTAAGAGATTTAGACTGTTTGACAGGTTTATTTAATGTAAATTATAGGACAGTTTTTAAAACATTTCCAACTGTATCATGTAAAGTATTTTACGTGGGAGGGGGTGGTAAAATACTTTGCATCGATTTTATAAAGCATTGTAACGTCTTTGCATGCAATTAAAAAATAAATTACTCATTTAACCAAACAATATAATCGATTTTACATGCAAGTGATCGTCTCAATAAAATTTGCATGCAATCATTTCACGTGAAAAGGTTTAACATGTAAACTACCAAATGGGCCATTAAAGTTACTTATTTGTATTACCTACTTGTACTCTTTTTAGCTAAAAAAATATAAGTAAATTGCACAAATAAGAGTTCTTATATTGTATTCACAAAATATGACTTATTTGATGGCATTAATGCAATAAAATCTTCTCAGTTAGGGATAAATGAATCATATAATAGACTGGCAGAGAGTTATCAAATATGTAGTATAATGTACTCATATAATACCCTCATTTGGGCTCTTTTTACTCCAAACATGCTTTATTTAATCTCAAACATGAAGACAAAATATGAATTTTTGAACTCGATAAGATTTTTTAAGAGAAGAAAATGATAGTGATATTATTTATGCAATGTGTTTACGTTTTAGTCTAATTTATTTAAGAAATTTTCTTTATTATACATAATATACATACATTTGTTTTTTAGCTTTCCTTTTACAATAAGAAAGTAAACAAACATTCAATTACTAATATAGTAATATATATTTCTTTCAAAAAAACTAATATATTTTATAAATTAAATATCAACGATTAAATATTAATAAAAGATGATTTTATAATTATATATGTTCAGATGAATCTGAAAACCATGTCACTTCTCTTCTATGCAAATAAATTATGTAGTCAAAGCTTGTATGTTTGACAATTTCACCATTGACAAACATTTATAAGCTTAAGGCATGTTTGGTGTCCTATACTTTCAATTTATCAATCTTATCAATTATTTTTTGGAAAAATTGATAGAAATAATCCTAACTATCGGCGATCCGCTTATAATAATCTCAATTATCGATTATTTCAGAATAATCCCAACTTTAGGGATCTTCCGCCAATAATGGTCCTTACATGACCGGCTATAAATAAATTCATATAGTTTCTAAAGTGGATGAGAAAGGATATAACAAGTAATCCCTATAAATAGTTCCAACTTTTAATTTTTAGGATTAATTTCTATTTAAAATTCACTTGTTATAGCAGGTAATATTTGGTCATGGACCATTATTGGCAGACGGTCCATATAGTTGGGATTATACAAAAATAATTAATAGTTGGAATTATTATTAGCGGACCGGCAATAATTGAGATTATTCTTTTCAATTTTTCCTTTTTTATGAAACGCATGATGTTTTATGATATGAGTTGAATTTTGTAACAATCAAAATAAGTTAAGATAGAGTTACTTTTCTAGATAAAAGATTGAATTATTACGGATGACAATTTTATCTATTTCGCATATAATTTTTTTATTATTTTATTAATAAAATATATTTTAATCCCCCATAATTCAGTAAATTCGGTCAATTCATCCACCTCGATCAACCAAACTTTTCTGAATGTCAATACATTAAATCAATTTAACCAATTTCAGTTATACTCGTAGACTGCTTTTTGCAACTCATATTTTCCATTTATGGGTTTTATTAGTCAACACTTTTATCATACTTAATTGTTCATTTCGCACGCTAAATTGTATAATAGTCAAAATAATTAAGATTTGGGTTACATTTGTGACAGTATTGGATGGAATTGTTGCAGATGATTATTTTAGCTAATTTCATAATATTTTTCTTTATTTTATTAATCAAAAAATATTTTAAATATAAATATTGAGTAATTCAACATTTTCAACCAATTTAACAATTTCCGCCATAATTTCGCCAATTTTAACAGATTCAATCGATTCAATAGTATTTCTCTTATTTGGTATTTTTACTTTTTTATTTTCAAACTCAATATATCCATGAATTTATTTTTTATATTTTTAAATATATACTCCCTCTGTCCCCCTATAATTGTCTCATTTTTTTATTTTTTGATGTCCCACTATTATTGTTTCATACCATATTTGCTAACATTTGTGTGACTTTAATTTATTCTTACTTTATTCACACTTTATCAACTCATTATCAACCACATAATTTTTCTTTTCCTAAAATTCACATCACTCTCTTTCGTTCGAATACTAGGGGGCGGAGTTAGTATCTTTTATTTACTTAAAGTAAATAAGAATAAGTTGTGTCCTAAATTTGAACTGTAGAGATATATTTGGTTCTTCTCCCTATACGACTCAAAATTGCATGTAGCATACCTGTTTGGCTGAATCCAAGATACTTTTAGGGTATGTTTGGGAGTTGGGTTTTGGACGGAAGGGGAAGATTGACAAGGCTTTGTGACTATCCCTTTCATGTTTGGGAGTTTAATGGCCATTTGTTTGTGAATGGGGTATGCAACAAAAGTTGCCTAAGTGGTTAGGAATTTGTGAACTTGTTCAATTGTTTGTTGCCTCATTTTGGCTAATTTTTTATTGAACAATGGTCAATCCACATTTACTTGTTAGAAGAGAACTATTTTGTAGTTTGAGTTTGTTATAGATTTTGGCCTCTATGACATGAATGTTCTAACAGGTCATGACTTCGGCATTTTGGGCTTGCACTTTATTCATTGTCAAACTCGAGATGATCTCTACAAAGACATGAGTGTCCAAGGTATCAAATACAATGGGACGACATAATAATGTCGCAATGAAAAAATCGAGATCTATGTATTTGATCTAACATTTAGATCATGTAAAGTTTAGTGACTTAGTAGTAAAAAAGTATGTGAATATGTATATCGAAATGATCGTGAAATGTATAAATCACCAAAATAATTCAAAGACAACACTAGGTCATCATTTCGTCGTACAGTGGTTATTGAAGTCTGCTTGTAAGTGTCGATATCGAAGACATGAATACAACACCAGGGTAGAGTATTGATGCATCCTTAAGACAATGAGCTCATCTAAAGCTTAATGATATGATGTTCTAGTTCCTAAAAGAGTAAATAATGGCATCAAAACTTATAACAAACAGATTGCATATGAAAGAGCTTATTGTTTACATTTTCCCCTAGTTGAGAAGATGTCTCTCTCCCCAAAATAACAACAAGGACAGATAGAAATTCAGCCCTTTGTACCTATTTCTTTTGCCAAATTCACTTATTCGATCTTCCCAAATAAGTTTGCCACCTTCATTCTTTTTTTATTACTACGTATATCTTTTGCAAGTCAAATTTGGCAAAAGAAATATGAACTGAAGCAACTTAAATGACTATCCTTGCCCATCTTAGATACAGTTCCTCCCAAAATTACATTGCCCCCCCCCCCCCCCCCCCCCTGAATGATCTCAAATCAGGGTTACCTTGGTCTCAGTTGAGAGGCAAGGTGGGGCCATACTGGTAGATTAAGCGTCTGGCTGCCCAGTAGTGTATTAGCCTGAGAGCGTGTAACCATCTCGAGCATCGAAGGTGTTTGATAATAAGCCTGAAACAAGCTCGGCGACCCGTCTATGTATACAGAATCACCACCCCGTATAGTTGCTCTCTGCCACGAATGTGAGCTCAGTCCCGACAGTATGTATGCTCTTCCTGATGCCTCATACACGTGTCTGCTTCGCATCCTCTCCTGCATCTCCCTCAGCTCTTCTCTCAAACCCAAGCACATCTTGTCATGACAAATCTTGGCCAATTCAGATAATGCCTTCTCACAGTTCTCAAGTATGGACGTTGCGCCAATGAGGTCTCCCCTCTCTGCTGAAGCACGTGCTTGCTCCATAGCCTCTGCTGCTTTGACCCGGTTTTTCTGCCTCTCAACTTCCACACTTGTTTCTCCCGCCACTACCTCTTCTGGTCGGCCGATCATAACTTCTTCACTCTCGAGATTGACAGTTTTATTGGTCAACGGGCAGGTGTAGACACATTTGATCTTCAACAACGAAGTTGATTCATCACTCATTGGCACTTTAATCGAAATGAGAAAATCCCTCTCCTCGTCAGCGTATAAATCTCCGACATCAATAGCCCCAGCCCTTTTATCTGATGTAACCCGGTTTTGGTACCCGCCTGCTGTTAATGATCCAAGATAGACTCCAGGGTCAACACAGTCCAAACTTAACTTCAGGTCCTTTACGACAACGCTCAGAAGGCCTCCTATGCACTGGGCAAATGCATCCTGGATGATGACTTCCGTTTCGATTAACGAAAATGTCCCTCCGGATATCTCTGAAATATTGTGCAAAAACTCAGCATCATGGTCCCCACCAAACCCGAACGTGTGCACCGGAATCTCAAACCTAGAAGGAAGAATGAGCTGCTCAGAATTATTGCTCACCTTGTACGTGTCTTGACCATCGGATAATAGTATTATACTTCCGACGGGGTTCTTATCCTTTCGGTCATTCATTATCTTGGCGCCCATACGCAAACCTTCTGTGATGTTTGTTCCGCCGTTCGCAACCAAAGAGTTGACGGCTTTCAGGGCGGCACGCTGTCCTGTGTCGGACATCCTCCGTAGCGGGAAGAGACGGCGGGCTGTCGAAGAGAAGGCGACAACTGCCAGCCTGTCAGCGGGACCCATGTTCTGTATGACGAAGCTCATGGCTCTCTTTAGGAGAGCCAACTTTGTACCCACCATGCTTCCGCTTATATCAAGAACCGTGACAAGGTCAATGGGGGTACGTGGTGTTTTTGCAGCAGTCTTATGGGGGCGATTTATGCAACCCATTTTATTACCTGAATCAGAAGGCGGTGGTGCTTTGAGATGGACCAAGACCGTGAAGTTATCCAAAGCACTGAATCTTGAAACGGAGGGAACTTCCGGGAACATACTTATTGTCATCTTTCTCTCTTCTTTGTCACCAATTATGTGAGTTGAACCCGGTTGACCATCCAAAGATTCATCATCATCAAATACGGTCGGCTCAGGGATTGCAATGTTTTGATTTTGATGAAGTGGGTAAACAGGGTTTACTCTAGTCCTTCTGGGCGAGGGAGGAGGAGGATCTGAACTGGGGCACAACAAAGGGATCTCTTTCCACTTTGCTCTACAGATTGGACAAACTTGGTTTCCATGTTTGACATTTGATGCAATGCATTGGAAATGAAACGAATGTGAACATTCGGCAGTGAATATAGCCTGGCCCCCTCTGAGCCTCATTGAGGTCAAACATATTGAGCATGTCTTCTGTGTATAGAGAAAAAAGAATCAAAAATCATTTTTCACATGAAGGACAAGTAATGTACTAGAGATAAAAGAATTTAAAAAAGCATAAATTTTGTAAAAGTATTTCTACTAGTAGCTGACCCGAAAATCTTTTGGGAATAAGGGTTGGATGTTGTTGTTGTTGTTGTTGTTGTATTTCTATTGATTAATACTGTTATTATCATTATGTTTTTTAAATTTACATCTGGAGTAAAGATTGAACCTTTTTTAGCATCTAAAAAGCATCATATTTGTCAACACTTATAAACCGTTCCTTCCCAAATTTTGTACAAGGGCCGTTTGATAACCTTCTTTTCATATAAGCCTTATAAACCCACTTTTGTCAAATACTTTTTTTTAGTTATGCTTAGAATTGTGGAATAATCAAAATAAGAAAACAATTAAGCTTAGATATACTATTCTAGTTAACTTTGTTTAAGAGGGCAATTCTAGCTTCTTTTCAGGCTATTTTTTCTTTATTTTATGGAATAAATACTTCAATATTACTAAAACTCGAGACTTTTCCTAAAATATGACTATACATGTTTTTATATGTAATATATAACAAACACATACATGGGATGGTTACCATACTTAACTAATTCCTTATTGATAGTGCCGTTACCACTCATGGAGCATGACATTAGGATGTTAGATTAGGAATAAAAAATAGTGGAGTCATGTATTGGGAAAGATATATTGTTTTAGTAATATTAGTGATAATTATCTCTTATTTTATCAACTAAATATACTATAATTAAAATTATTTCATAACTTAGCATAGTCAGTTCCCTCATTTCAATCTCAATTTCAGCCATTCCAGAATGTAATCAAAGGGCTTTAAAAGAACGAAAATGCTGCAGTTTAGTAAAAAGGCTGTTTTCTAATCTTGGAAAAAAGATCCTCATGACCTATAGGAAAAAAGAATTCTTAAAAAAAATATTACTCTGTTTTGCAAAAGTTCCTCTTGACCTCAGCAATCAAACAGGTAATCTATAGGACATTGACGCATAATAAAAGATTCCCCTTTTTGCAGTTAATGCGGTTCCAGTCAACAATAGTCTTTTGATTTAAACTCACCCATCTGAATAAAATGTTCGCCCAGAAATATGATAGATTTCAGAGAAAAACTGGAAAGAAAAGAACCGACCTTGGAAGATCTGCTGAAGCTATTAGATGGCTTAAAGAAACTGGGGGGCGGAGAGAGCAGGGCGGCGTCGGAGTGCCGGGCCGAGGAGGCGGAGGAGCCCAGGTCGCCGCCGTCAGTGGTTGTTGGAAGACGATGAGTACGCAGATTCAACCCAAGAGCCAGCTTCACTTTCCTCCATTTGCTCCCCATGGTGTGCTAGATTCAATGAGGAAAGAAGCCCCTTTTAATTTGTTTATCTTTACAGTAAAAGACTCGAAAAGGCCTTTTCCACTTTCCTCTGCAAAAAAGGGCGAGGGAAAGTGGAGCAGATAGAGAGTGAGTGGGGTGGAATTGGAAAAGAAAAAGTTACGGAGACCCGTTGGTACTTGGTACCCGAAACAGACCCTTGGACGCCCCGCTTAAAAACGGATAACCCGACATAAGTGTAATAAAGCTCTTCCGAAACATTTCACTCGGCGGGATTCGAACGCAAATGGCGCGAGTGAACCACCTCCATTATTCACCAAGCCTTTGATATAGAAATACCATTTGATTTAGTATATGTGTGAACCGTCCAATCTCTTCTTATCAAGGGTGTTAATGTGAACTCTCTCTCTATACGTAGAGTAATTTTTCGGTCAGGAAATTTCTGACCGGAGCGCTGTTCGGCCGCCGCCGTTTAGGGTGGTTCCGGTGGATCTTTTTGCTGAATTTCTTTATGCATGTTCTTCATCAAGTCTAGTTTATTCACATCAAATTTCAATAAAAATACAATTGAGAAGGCAATCAAATAATTTTTTTAAGATAACTACGCCAAAATATACATATAAAACACAATTATCTAAAAAATATTATTTGATTGTCTTACCGATTGATTTTTTAGCTGAAATTTTGTGTGAATAAATTAGACTTAATGTAGAACATGCACAAAACATTTCAGCAAAAAAACTACCCGGAACCGCCCAAAACAGCGGCGGCTGGACGGCGCTCCGGTCAGGAAATTCCTGACCTGAATATTTGTGTGTATGTGTGTGTGCGCGCGTGTGTGTATATATATAAACAAATATTCCTGTTCAACTAGGCCGGACAGAAGGGTGGTCCAGCCACCTCGATTTGAGATGGTTCCCGGAGGTATTGTTTTGCTCAAATTTTTTTAACATGTTCCTCATGAAGTGTGGATGGTCTCCACCAAATTTGAGCAAAATATTCAATGGGGAAGGCAATTATATGATTTTTGGAAGATAACAACGCTTTACATGTATATTTTGGCACAGTTATCTTCCGAAAATCATTTTAATGCCTTCCGGAGCGAATTTTTTGCTCAAATTTGGTGATCATCTAAACTTCACGAGGAACATGTTAAAAAATTTGAGCAAAACATATGTGACATTGTACCCGAACGTCCTTGAAGTTCAATTTAGAATCCAAAGTTTATGTATTGATTTCACTATTTTCGAACAATTATAAAACGATTAATGTCTACGTAGTGCACGATTGATCATACTACCATTTGGACTCGTATAATAGTGAGGGGCTTTCAAATACTTAATTGGGCTGTCTTATTAGAGCCCAACACGATGTAAATAGAGATACATAACCCTTCGATACAAATAAGGAAAGTCGGGCAACCCAAGTGTTATTTTCGGCCCTACCTGCTAAAAATAGTAAGTATTCAAAGAATGACATCCTAAGCTCATTTGAGGATAGCCCACACGGCTTGTAGCCCAATAATAAAAATGCAAAAGTCACAAATAAGGGAAATGATGATTAGAGAATAATACAAACTCTTATGGTCCCATCTTTGACATTATTGTGCTAAATAATGGGAATATGGTTTTTCCTCCAAATTATACATCATATAAATTATTGAGACCATCCTACACATATTAGAGACCAATAATATGATGTAGGTGGTTGACTTGTTCTAAATAAATTAGAATGAGTACAAAAAAGACATCTCATGACAAAAGATAAAATAATAGGACCCATTTTTTCATTTTTGGAAGTATTCATAGATATTTTGGACCCCAAATTTATTGGGATCATTTAGGAACTATTCCACATGACTTGAGTACCTGCAAGACAAAGAAAAATGGGTGAGATGACTACATGGGGCGGACATATTGGCTCAAAAACTTCAAAAGAAAACAAAAAGGGAAGGTCCATCCACCCCATATTTGATTGCAAACCAAATATCCCCCGTACTCTCTTGTAAACCACATGTTTTCCTAACATGATTGAGAGCTCTTAGACACTCCCACAAACCCCCATACGAATCCCCAAATATAATAGAGGAAAAAGGAGCCACACAACTCAAGGGAGAAAGAAAGAAGGAAATTGCACGCAAAGTTACTTTCCGGTGCGTAGGGTTGCTTGTTTGATTCATATCTTGAGCTACACCAATCCAAAAAAGGGCGTGTGAGGTGTCTGCAGAAAGCTCTCAAAATAATGAATCCGTGAAGGTGAGTTTGCAGAAAACGGAGTAGTGGAAGGTCTCCAAATCATCGAAAGAAAACACAAACTCGCTGAAACGGATTTGCCTCTTTAAAGTGAGTTTGAACCCAAAACCTTCCTTTTCATTTTCTAAATGATGTGAACAATTGATGGAACTATTATACACTATTTCAAGTGTATAATATGTTCTTTATAGGGTTACTTTATTGAAGTGAATGTTAGATACTAACCTAGTAAACGAATTCGCCGCAAAACACCCATTCTAGGGGTTGTTTTCGTATCATCGGTTAGGAGTTGAGCTAGCACCTTGAGGAGGCTATCTAACACTCATTTCTAAGCAAGGAATCAGATCTCAAACTTCCTTGGCCGAAGCCTTGAGCATTGGATCAAGAAGGAAAAGTTTAAATCTCATTTGACGTGAGGATCGACATCTAGCTGCTTACAACTTGTAGGTTAAGCATGAGACTACCTAAATGTCTAAATCATGTTTTCATGGATTATGATGCTTAAATATTGATAAACTGGATGAGGAATGAATTTGATAATGATTTGAGACCATGTTGAAAATATGAAGTTAAATGAACTATTAATGAACTATTATGTGAAACAAACATTTCTACTTATGGATGAATTGTGTAGGTACATAAATGAATATTTATGTATTGAAATTGGATACTTAAGTTGCTGCCACATATCTCTAAATATGTAGGGAATTACAAATAGGAATATTTGATTGCATAAGAATAATCTTAATAATATTAAAATACTGATTAATTATTATTGGTAATTGTTAATAGAATTGATCCTAAGGTTTTGATTGTATGTAATGCACTTGAATATAATTCAAGTGTCTAGAATGATTTCGTATGAAGATAAGATAGTTTAAGGATGACCCAAGGTAGTTTATTGATAGGTCAATTCTAGGCATAGGTTTTGCTTAGAAATTGGACTTTGGTGCATGGTGATGTAATAGAGCCGAGCTCGATCTAGAATGCATGACGAGGTGATGGACTTGTAGTCTATGATTTGTATAGCTAGAGCCGAGATCTAGGGCTTGCATGGTGATGTAATATAGCTCTAGAATGCAAGGTGAGGTATTTGACCCAAAGGATATGAATTGCATGGTGATGTAATAGAGCCGAGCTCTAGAATGCAATGAAATATATTAGGGTTGGACTCTATGAGTTGTCATGACTTTTAGTCATGGGGAATGGGAATGATGAATTCTAAATGAACATAGGCCCATGGGCCGACTACTTGACTTTATATAAAGTAAGTATACTTTCAAACGGGGTTACTTGGGTTACGACACATATTGTACTATCACCCTATTTGAGGGTCTTATATTTGAAATACTTGTTGTATATCTATTAGATGTCATCCACATCAGTACTTTATAACCCTATAGAGTACTGACCCCTTCGGGGGCGTCCCACCATAATTTCAGGTTGAGGCTAGAGCTTGCTTCTTGATAAACATATAACTTCCATGTTTATGTTTATGTTTTTATTAGTTTTTATTGATTTTTACTTTGGAATTTACACATTTTTGGTGTAATAGTTTAGTTTGTTAAAATACTTGTAAATTGTTTAGATTAGGTTTATTCTGAGCTCAAACAGGTCCATGATCACTAAAAGGACAGTTGGTGAACCCCAAAAGTGGAAGGAAGGTGCAAAATCACAAGACAAAATGAAGATCCTGATTTTTTGGTCTATACCCGGTCGGGTATGACCTATACTCGATCGGGTATCTTGTTGAAACCTCAAATCAAATCGGATCTGAAGACAAAGGAACATGCAGAGAAGATTTGGATCACGACCGAGTGTCTATACCCGATCGGGTACACCGACACACCCGATCGGGTATGACTTCGATTTTAACTTGAAATCGGACGAGTATGCCTCTAATATAGCTTTGTACACATACCCGGTCGGATACCTTGTATATACCCGATCGGGTATACCTTCAATTTTAACTCTGAATTCGGTCGAGTATACCTCGAATATGGTATTCTACACATACCCGGTCGGGTACCATCTCTGTTCTAAAAATCGTTCTAGGCGTACGACTAGTCCCCGCCTAGGCGCTAGGTGGTGGCCGGGCGCCCCGATTTTTGTCTAGACACTCCGACTAATTGATTTGCCGTCTAGGTGAATTAGTCGGCCGCCTATGGCGCCTAGTTGCCCGCCTAGAGCGCCTAATCGGCCGCCTATGTCGTCTAGATTCGTCGAACATTACTTTACTTTTTAATATTAATTTTCTAAGCGATATACGTATTTTAGCTTTAGCCATGGATATAAAGAAATGAAGTTGTAAATTAAGATAAAACTATATATGTTTATATATATATATAGGGAGCGGTTCCGGTAAGAACGGACTCCCAGGAGAGAAATGAGAATGAATCTGGACCGTTGGATTGTATTATGTGGAACTGAATTTTGCATTTGGTGAAACTGAAATGTGCATTAGATGATATTGAAATGTGCAAAATAAAAATTTAAACTCAAGTGTGCATTAGGTAAAACTGAAATGTGCTGAATAAATGGTACAAAACTAACATCACATCGTACCTTTTATTCTCCACATTCCAATTTCACCTAGTGCACGTTTTAATTTCACCTAATGCACAATTCAGTTTCACATAATGTCACTATATCGTACCCTTTGTGTTGCATATTTCAATTTCACCTAGTGCACATTACAGTTTTATCTAATGCACATTGAGTTTCACTTAAAGCAAATCTAACGGTCCAGATTCATTCTCATTTCTCTCCTATGATCATGTTCTTATTTGAACCAAAACCTATATATACATATACCTAAATTTCATCATTATTTATATTTATAACATAATGAAGTTAAGTGATTAGTTATCATATACTACATATGATTAAATGTGACAATTCTATAATTCATGTTTGTTAATGTATATGTATATATGTATTTTATACACACAAAAATACAATATTACTTATCATATTTACGCAAAAATATAGATAAAAATGCTTTTTTCCCTCCGACTAGTCCCCGACTAGGCGTCCGTCTAGCCGCCTAGGTGCTAGGCACTGGGCTGGCGCCCGACTAGTGCATAGCGCCTTTTAGAACATTGGGTACCGTGTATATACCCGATCGGGTACCCGGACTGTATGTCCAAAATCCTATAAATACACCTCCTTCCTTTCACAATTAGATCACTAATTCACATATACTTCTTAGCTCAGTTTAGATAAGCTCTTTATATTTTCTTCATGTTTAATCTCTAAATGAGGAGCTAAACTCTTCCATCTTGGTTTTGCTACTTTGAAGCTTAATGAATTTGTAAGTTGTGGGTTATTTTCTTTAACCTTCTTCCTTGAATATTAATTATTTCCTATTCATATCTTGATGGATAGTATACCCGGGGGGTAGCTTATCCGAGGGGTTATTGCGGAAAATAACTAGAGAGAAGTCAGAGCAAATAAGTAAGAGAGAGAGTGTATATTCGATATGTATTAAGCGTGGTTTACAACGGGGAAATGGGGTGCTATTTATAGTAGCAATAAATGCCAGACGGGGACACGTGTCAAGTATTCATTGGCCGAGGGGTCACCTCAACTGGTTGGCGCTGGCAATCGCATGTGGCCGCATTTAATGCGGCTGTTGGACGTGACGTCGTACTTGGTACGGTGATTCATACGCATGTGGAGCGGATATTATGTCGGGAAAGGTGCCCTCGGCTGCAGGTGATTAGCCGAGGGCTCTGAGTACCGGGGACCTCCTTAGTGCCGAGGGCTCTAGTTGCCGAGGGCTACTGATTTTCGCCGTTTTCTCCCAGTAACTTTGTTTTCCAGATTTGGCCATCCTGTGAGAATTGGAGCCTTCGGCCAGGGGGCCGAAGGCACCCCTAGTGCGCCACGTGGGTTGCTTGGTACTTGGAGCGCCGTGATTTGGGCCTGATGTGCTTCCTGGGCCTATTGGGCCTCCATTAGAATAGTAGGAGTCTATGGGCCGGGGGTTCCTGGGCCATATACTCCATCAGGAGTCCCTCACTCCTTTTGCCGAAAGGTACTTGAGGGAAAAGGAGTAATTGTGTTTGTCCTCTGTCGTTGTTCCGTTGTAGTTTGTAGAGTTGTGGGTATTTTGCTTGTTCGTTTATTCTGTCGAGGGCAGTCCCTCAGTTACCCACATGTCGGGACTTGAGGGGTCATGTTTGCTGTTTGCGGGAGTTTTTAGCATTTTGCGGTTTTTGTGATTTTTCCCGAGGGGGTTCTCCAGCCCCCCACTCCTTGAGGCACTTGCAAAGTGGTGAAAAGGAGTAGAGTAATCATGTTGCTGTTTTGGGCCGAAGGCTGACGCTTTTTGTTTCATTTTGGGGGGATGCCTCGTTAAAAACCTCATTAGGAAAAACCCTGTGGGAAAAAATCCTAATGAGGGAAAAAGAGTGCACCGAATTCCCCCAACGATGAATCGAAAATGTGAGGCCCTGGTTTGAAACGGAGTACAATGCTGATGCCGAAGGCTATCCTTGTTCTGAGGGCGCGTGTGTTAATTAGCCGGAGGCTTGCTGTTGATATCCTTGGAGGTACCGAAGGGGAGTCCCTCAATCTGGGGATCGAGGACGTGATGAATGTGAGTAGTAGTTGAAGTGTTACCGGGGGGTCCCATGTTTGTTGATCAGTTGGTGAGGTGGATATTCCCGTTCCAAGGTCAGTTCCCACCTGCTCTTCTCCTCTCTTAGTTAGCTGTGCCTAGCGGTCTTAGGAGTTGTACTTAGGAATCGTAGCTTAGGGCACTTAGCATTCCTGAAACCCTGAGCTAGCACAGACGATGTCTTCACAAAGCGACTCTCAAGATATCTCGGGGGCGCCCTCGATGGAGGAGGAAACCGTCTCGGACGTGGAGTCCACAAGTGAACAGCCCTCAGTGGGACGAGATGCCGTCATAGCAATGGAGCTGCAGAGAGCCCTCGTCGCCGAGGTGGAAGCCGAGGGCTTCGAACAAGAATGCGAGGATAAAGAGCTGGCCCTCGCCTGGCAGGTAGCTGAGGAAGAGGTGCAGAGAGAGGGCGCGAGGGTCACCGTCGCTGTTCTCCCCCCTCGCGGCGCTGGTGAGGCCAGCACCTCTCGGCCGTTGAACGTGGTCCCCCTCCGGGTGGCCCCCGAGAAAAAGAAGACGAAGGGTGCTGCTTCCAAGAAGAAAGGCAGCGTCACAGACCAAGGGAAGCCTATCGATATGCCCGAGGGGTATTCCTACCTGAATACCGCCGCCCTAGAGATAAGGTCGAAGGCTGATGAGGCGGATTTCTACGTCACCCAGTTACATGTGGGGCCCTCGGCCGTAGTGGTGACGCCGGGTCCTGATGATGTCCTGTCCCGGGCTCCCGAGGGCTGCATCGCCGTGCACATCCTGTCCGTATCGATGGGGCTCCGGTTCCCCCTACACCCATTCCTTCGGGAATACCTTCGGTACGTGGGTTTGGTCCCCTGCCAATTGACGCCGAACAACCACTCATACATCGCGGGCTTCCTCCATCTCTGCAAGTCCCGGGGGGTAACGCCTAGCCTGGACCTGTTCTTTCAAAGTTTCAATTTGTGTCGGGGGAGCATGCGAATGTCGAGGGCTTTGCGAACTTGAAGCAGGTGGCCTTGTTCAAGCTGTTTACTGAGGCGCCCTCCTCAAACAAAGGGTGGAAAGACCGATGGTGCTACGTAAAGTTAGCCGAGAGCCCCTTCCCGAGGGAGCTGCGTGATCGGTTCAGAAGGCACGAGAAAGTGAGGAGCACCGCCCTCGAGAAGGACGGGAGGATCCTGGCCAAGATCCCGGAGGGCCGAAATAAAAACATAGCCATCAAGGAGTGCACTCAAGAGGAGGACCTCTATACCCTCGGGTTTCGGCGGTATCGCTTCCTGGGGGAAACAGATGAAAAGTACCCGGTGTTCGATGGAGCCTCCGGGGTTTAGGAGGTAGCAGCCGAGGGCACCTTTATTCTCATACTTAGCACATAGTTTGATTTTTTTTTGTACTTTCATGCCATTTGTCAATGACCCGTCGGCCTGACCCCATATTGTGTTGCAGGTATCCCGGTCTCCAAGATGAACGTCAGGGGGCGTGCTGATCTGAAGAAGAAGTCCGCCAAGGTCCCGAAGGGGACGGATGCGGGCATGCAGAAGCCCGTCGGTGACTTCTTCAAGAAGTCCGAGGGGCCGTCGACGGTCCCAAGCGCTGACGCCGCCGCCGCCGCCGCGAAGAGAAAGGCCGCGGGCAAGGCTCCTGAGGGCAAGAGGCCAAAAAAGGGGGATACCGGGAAGAAGGATCCTCCCGTGGTCATCATAGATGAGTGCCCCGCCTCCGGGACGCATGTGGAGATACCGGTGGTTGAAGTGCCGAGGGGTGTCCGGGAGCCACCCTCTGAGGTTCTGCAGGTTTCTCTCCCGAGGGGAACATCCGTCATGAACTGCACGGTGGACCCGAGGGTGCTTCTGAGGGGCATGACCTCCGAGATTGACAGAGCCGCCCTCGGGGCTGATGATGACCTGGCCCTCGAGTACAAGATCCTCCGGTCTTCCTTCACTGTAAGTTTCTTCCTGATTACCGTTTTACTTTGCGCTAGGATATATTGTACAGCTTTCCTAACTTCTTTGTAACTTACAGGCTTGCATTGCCCTCGGCGAACAGGCCCGGAGGCTGGAGGAGTGGCGCCTGCACAAGGCCGAGCAGGACGCGAAGATGAGGGAGCTCGTCTGCCAGAACTCTGATGCCATCAGGCAGATGGCTGCACTGGAGGAGAGCCTTCGGCAGATGACGCTGTGGGCGGAGACCGTAGACCGGGGCAAGGCCGATGCTGAGAGGTCCGCAGCTGAAGCCCTCGAGAGAGCCGCCAAGGAGGCTGAGGCCGCCAAGGCGGATGCCGTCGCAAAGGCCCGAGAGGACGCCGTCTCCGGATTTTTGGTGGGGGGTGGAAAGCCGAAAGCACAAACAGTGGCTGTACACGGTCGTGGAGTCCTCCGTCGATGAATGGTGCGACGGGCCCGACATGGAGTGGGTTTCCCGAAAGGGCAAACAGTACTACGATGGGGGCGAGTTTTTTACTCAGGCCCTCATCTACCGGAGGATGGCCCGTCATTTGAAGATCGATCAAAAAGACTTCGACCCGACGGCATACGACCTTCCTCCCCTGCAGCCAGATGTCCGTGTTCCTCTCCCCTCAGATGTCGAAAGGCCAGGCCTGGAAGATACTGAGCTGATGAAGGAGGCTGCGGGGGACGATGCAGAGGCCGGCATAGAGGTCACCTCAAAGCCTGTGGAAGAGGCTGCCTCCGGGGCTGATAATAGTTGATTTGTATTTAGCACATTTTGAACAATTCTGTTGTAACGAATATTTGTATGCTCCCGGCCTCGGCCATTTTGTAATGCACACTTTAACTTCTCCAACTTTTTGATGAATGAATACCTGCCTTCGGGCTTTTTGTATATAATTCGTTTCCTTTGATTGTTTTCCTTTGAATGTATGCCTTCGTCCTTTCTGAATGTATGCCTTCGTCTTTTTTGAATGTATGCCCTCGTCTTTTCTGAATGTATGCCTTCGTCTTTCTTTGAATGCGTGTTAGGACTTAGAATATATTCCTCTAAGTATAGTGTCTCCTGTAGCCCTCGGATACTAGGACCCTTTAGTTATCTGAACGTTTCGCCGAGGGCCCAATGTTCAGGACTTAGAAATTTTTCTAAGTGTTGTTCATCTGTTGGCCCCCGGCTAATTCCTTCCCTCCGGTTCTGTGTAGCCTTCATGAGATAACCGGAGGCAAGGTGCTTAGGACTTAGAAAATTCTTCTAAGTGTTTGGATACCGTTCAGCCTTCGGTACGAGGGTACCCTTCGCTGCACGGGTATATAACCGAGGGCTCAGAATACTCAGGAATTAGAAAATATTTCCAAGTGCAGTTTTATCAAGCCTTTGACTGTGTGGCCCCTCTGGCTGCATGGAGATTTGACCGAGGGTCAAAAACATTTGGGACTTAGAAAATTTTCTAAGTGTAGTTTGTATGAGGGAGGAGCCTTCGGGTGAATGTGATGACCTTGTCTCAGATGTGCCTTCGGTTGGCTGGTGGCTCCACAGGGGGCAAAGTATTTAGGTCTTAGATTATTTTCTCTATGTATTTCCTGTTGCTGGCCTTCGGGAGCGAACCCTTCGGTTGTATACTTTGTGGGCCTAGAACCGTTTATTTTGTCTTGCAAGGTTGGCCTGCGGTAACAAAAGCCTTCGGCTGTTTATTATGTCCCCCCAATGTTGATATAGGAGAGTTTGTAATCCAAGTCTAGCATAAAAAGGCAGACTCCCTCGGGAATTGTCTGGGTGTATCCCATCGGCATGTAGTGAGGTGCCGGAGGTGATTCTTGCTTTGATTTGGCCAACATCTGATAGTTTTGTCATATAGTAGCCTTCGGGAACGGTTTGAGTTGTTGTTGGGTGAGCCTATCATTTTTTGTAGGGTTTGAGACTTCAGTTTTGATATAGCCGGAGGCAATCATGGAGTGGACTTAGCCATTTGTTGATGATGACTGTTGTGAATGGTGTCTTTGGTACTTATGAGCTTGCAGGTACCGAAGGCGTTCCCATGGGGAGCCCTCGGTATGTTCTCGTGAATATGTTGGAATGATGTACTCATTGATTTCTCGTTGAGTCTACTCCCCTTCACCACCCCTTTTTTTTTCTTTTTTTTTGTAGTGAAGGGAAGGCTTCAAGAAACTTGGTTTCTTGGTAAGGCTTGGCCTATCGGGAGGTAACAGAATACACCATTAGCTCCCCCCTCGGGTTAACCTTCCGAGTTCCGAGGGGATCGAGGGTCGTTTCCTGGGTACAAGATATGGTGGTCTGTAGCCTGCCTCCCCTTGGGGGATGGGACGGAAAGCACCTCAGTTTTGAAAGTCGTCCCCTCGGCGCCAGACATAGTCCGTGGTCTGCCACACCCTTGGGGTAGTGGTGTGGGGAGCGTTTCGATTTGGAAATCAAATCATGGGCATTTTAGGTGCCTGCCAATCCCTTGGGGAAATGGCGCGGAAAGCGTTCCGTTTTTGAAAGTCGAATCCTGGGCATATTACGTGCATGTCATACCCTTGGGGTAGTGACGCGGAAAGCGTTTCAGGGAAGGGTTTTCATTTGCACACTGGTTGCAAATGGCCGGGGCACTACGTGCTACTGGCACCGATAGGTGGCGCCTTCGGTATAGGCGTCCTCGAGGGGTACGGCTTCAGAAACAACACTTGGTGTTTGTTCCGGTCTACGGCCCCCGACACTTGGTACCGAGGGGTCTTCTGCGAAAACACTTGGTGTTTTTCCTTCATTTGTCATCGGTGATTGGGGTGTCTACCCTCGGTACTTGGTACCGAGGGGTCTTCTGTGAAAACACTTGGTGTTTTCTTCCGTTTGTTGAAAGTTGACAGTGGTGTATCCCCCCGGTACTTGGTACCGAGGGGTCTCCTTTGAAGAAAGTTAGTACTCTTCCTCGTTGCAGGTGATAGTATTGTCTACCCTCGGCACTTGGTGCCGAGGGTTCTTGCTCGTGATAAGGCCTTGGGGCAGGGGGTGATATGAGGGCTTGGCCACTCGTAAGGATCGTGTTCCATGTTCTTGGTGTCTTCAAAATGTCTTCATTCTTCAGAATTTTTAGGCCTTGGGCCGTAAAATAATACATTCACTAGTTATGAGGGCTTAGCCGCTCTGATGTTATTGATAAAATTTAACTAAGTGATGTACATTCCAGTGTCTAGGGACTTCAGTCCCATTAGGGCGTTTCAGTTTGTAAGTTCCTGGTTTGATGATGGCCGCCACGATGTAGGGGCCTTCAAACTTTGGTGCCATCTTTCCGTCCTCGGTTGGTTGGCTAGCTTCCCTTCTTCGGAGGATGTAGTCCCCCACTTGGAATTCCTGGGAGCGGAATTTGGCGTCAACGTAACTCTTTACTTGCCTTCGGTAGTTCTCTACGCGTATGAAGGCTTGCTCTCGGCGTTCTGAAATAAGGTGGAGATCGAGGGCCATATTGGCGTCGTTGGCCTCTGGATCATACTGTGTGACCCTTCGGGTTGGAAGAGTTACCTCAGTGGGGGCTTTAGCTTCAAATCCGTAGCAAAGGGAGAAGGGTGTCTCGCCAGTTGCCCGCCGAGGGGTGGTACGGTAGACCCATAAGATGTTGTGGAGCTCTTCTACCCAGCCACCCCCCTTGGCCTCCAGTTTCTTCTTTAGGCCTTCGAGCAAGGTCATGTTGGTGTTTTCCACTTGACCGTTGCCCTGAGGGTAGGAAACGGATGAGAAGGTGTGTTTGATGCCCCATGCCTCTAGAAGGGCACAGAAGGGGGCTGAATCGAACTGAGTCCCATTGTCGGAGATGATTTGCTGGGGGACGCCAAACCTTGTGAGGATGTTTTTGAGAACAAAGTGATGGCACCTGGCCTCAGTAATGCTGGCGAGGGGCTCAGCTTCCACCCATTTGGTGAAGTAATCGATGGCGACGATGATGTACCTGTTGTTGGAGGTACCCCTCGGCAGAGGGCCCACAAGGTCTATGCCCCATTGAGCGAAGGGTATGGATGTGCTGATGGGGGCATAGTTGACCGCTGGCCTGCCGGGGGCTTTCTGGAAGTGTTGGCATGCGGAACACCTTCGGGCGAGATCTGCACAATCCCGGGCCATCGTAGGCCAGAAGTAGCCCTGGATTATTAGCCTTCGGGACATGGAGAAGGGTCCCTGGTGAGCTGAACAAGTGCCACTGTGCACTTCCTCCATTGCCACTTCGGCTTCATCTTGATGAAGGCACCGAAGTAATGTCCCGTTGTAGGACCTTTTGTAAAGCCTTCCGTCTTCGATAGCGTAGCTGGGAGCCCTCAGCTTTGCTAGCTTGGCGCGGGCCTCATCCTCGGGCAGTTGCCCTGTGGTGATGAAGGCGACAATGTCTGAGATCCAGTCATCTTGCCTTTGTTGTATGTGCATGATGGGGCTAGCATGTATGCTAGAAAGGCTGAGCTCTTCTACTTTGGCAATCTTTGAGATGTGCTCAGGGGATTCGGCCGAGAGCTTGGATAAAATGTTGGCCTCGGAGTTTTGAGCCCTCGCTATTTGAGTAAGAGAGTGTGCCTCAAATACCTTAAGCAACTCCTTGGCCACCTCCTTGTATTGCTTCATTGTCCCTTCCTTGGCTTCGTACTCCCCGGAAATTTGGCCGACAACCAATTTGGAATCGCATTTGACGTGGATCTGTTGGGCCTTCATGTTGGCTGCCAGCCGAAGGCCACAGAGGAGGGCCTCGTATTCGGCTTCATTGTTAGAGACTTTGAAGGAGAAGCGGACCGCGTAATAGGCCCGGAAGCCTTCGGGTGAGATGAGAACCACCCCTCCTCCACATGCTTTGACGGCGGAGGAGCCATCGGTGTAGAGGGTCCACCAATCATCCGAAGGAGCCGAGGGCTCCTCGTCCGTGGCTGATCTTGTCGTACATTCCGTCACGAAGTCCGCTAGGGCTTGGCCCTTGATGGCGGGCCTAGGACGGATGTCGATGTTGTATTGGCTCAAGAAGACAGCCCATTTTACCATTCAGGAGGAGCTGGTGGGGCTCCTCATCAAGGCGCCGAAGGGTTGGTGAGTGAGGACCTGAACCGGGTGAGCTTGGAAGTAATGGCCCAACTTCTTGATGGTCCACACGATAGCCAACACCGTTTTTCCCACGGGGGAGTACCGGAGTTCTGCTTCCCTGAGGGTCTTGCTAACATAGAAGATGGCATGTTGGATGTCATCCTCCTCCCGGATGAGTACTGAGCTGATGGCTGCCGAGCTAACGCCCAGGTAAAGGTATAGGATCTCCCCCACCTTGGGTTTAGAGAGCACAGGGGGCGAAGATAAGTACCGTTTTAGTTCCTCGAAGGCCTCCTGACACTCTGAAGTCCACTGGAAACCGGTGGTTTTTCTCATGATCTGGAAGAAGGGTAAGGACTTCTCTGCCGATTTTGATAAGAAGCGATTGAGGGCTGCCAGGCGGCCCGTCAATCGTTGGACCTCCTTTATGTTACGTGGGGGCTCCATGTTGATGATGGCCTGGATCTTCTCAGGGTTGGCCTCGATACCCCTTCGGCTCACCATGTAGCCCAAGAATTTGCCCCCCTGAATGCCGAAGGTACACTTCTTCGGGTTTAGCCGAAGGTTGAATTTCTGCATAATGGTGAAGATCCCCCTCAGGTCGTCAGCATGGCTTGCTGATTGCTTGCTTTTGACGATCATGTCGTCAACATATGCCTCCATGTTACGCCCTAGGACAGCTTGGAATACCATGGCCACCATCCGAGTGTAGGTGGCGCCTGAGTTCTTTAGGCCGAAGGCCATGACAAGGTAACAGAAGATGCCCTCGGGAGTCATGAAGGCTATTTTTTCTGCGTCTTCCTCATGCATAAATATTTGATGATATCCATGGA